AACGAGGCCTTGAAGACGATCACGGCAGTGGTGTTGGCGAGCACCTCCCGGAAGGCATCGCCTTCTTTGGAGTAGGGCTTGCGAGAGATGAACTTGGTTCCGGTCTGGCGGGCCAGCAGCGCGCAGGACTCGCTGTCGCCCAGGACCACCACGTTGCCGTTGCGCTTGGTCAGCTCTTTCAGCGCGACGGACAGGTAGTCTGGTCGCCCTCCCCCCCCCGTGGGTGAGGTGGACAAGGCCATGGAAAGGAGCAGGAGCAGGAGCAGGAGAAGAGAAGCGAAGAGGTGCGTTGAACCCGTACCGCCCTTGCACTCGCCGAAGGTGATGCTCACGACCGGGATCTCGCCAGCTGGTGAGAGAGACGAGGGCTGCTGAAGGGAAGGTGCGTCTTGAGAGCTGTGTTCCTCTCGCGAGTCGTGGGTTGTGGCCACCTTGGTCTCTACGCCAGCCGAGGGCCAGGTGAAATACCAAACGATGAAGAAAAGGCCCGTCGTTAGCAACAGCCACTGCCAGGCCCTCATGGACTTCCTTCCGCCAGCTTCTCTTCTCGGCCTCATCTTCTGCACTCCTCAAGCCTTTCAGGAAAGGAAAGACGACAAGACGACGAATGTCCTTTCCTTCTCCTCCTCCAACAACAACAACAACTCCTTCTGCAAGTGCAGTGTGGATAAGGTAATATAAAATGTGAAAAATGTTGCTGGGAGCAGGTGGTACTCCACCAACCTTGGAGAGAGCGTCCTCTTGTTGTAGTGGAGGTTGCTATGGCTTGGCCTTGCCGGCGGCCTTGGCGGCCTTCTTGGCCTCGAGCTGCTCCCGCTTGCGCTCCTTTTGCTGCTCCTTCTTCAGCCGCAGCGCCATCTTGGCCTCCAGCATCTTCTGTTTCTCGATCTGTGCACGCATTTTGCTCGGCAGCTTCAGGTAACACTTCTTGCACAGCGGCTTCCTGTGCAAGGAAAGAAGAAGAAGAAGAAGAAGAAAAGAGAGAGAGAAAGAGAAAGAGAGAGATTATGATGACCCATCCCACCATCAGGGCAGCATGGATGTGCACTCCTCGAGTGAGAACTCGAGCCGTACCCTTCGCTGGCGCAGATCCGCCCCATGGGGTCCAGGAGTATGTCGCAGGCCTGGCACAAGAAGTGTTCCCTATGCCACGTCTTGCCCAGCGCCTCCACGCCGTTCTGGGTCACAGGCTATGGGTTCACCAGGCACACACGGTGAGCCAACGTGCGCACGCGTGCGGCGGTCGAAGGGACACAACCGTGAGAGAGAGAGAGAGAGAGAGCACGTACGAGATCGCACTTGCTGCAGGGCCGGCCGAAGAGCTGCTTGAAATGCTCCTCACAGTACGGGAGGCCGTTCTTTTCAAAGAACTCGGACCCGGCGAACGG